CCCGACGTGTCCTCGTTAGAGGCTGCAGTCTGACCCGACGTGTCCTCCTTAGAGGCTTCAGTCTGACCTGACGTGTCCTCGTTAGAGGCTTCAGTATGACCCAACGTGTCCCCGTTGTTCCAGTTAAGAGCAAAGAATTAAAATAAAATGAGTCCTGACTGTAGCGGCTACATTTTGTTCATCGGGACTTTGGTTCATCTCGTTAAGAAAACGTTTGTTAGACGTCCACATGAACAAAGATGAGTCATGGAGCAGCTAAAATAACGTTTGTCACGAGATGACTCTCAGCTACTACCACATAGTCATTTTAGCATTCCGCGTGCAATGATCATTACGCTGAAGGTTCATTGAAACTCCTCCAGGGGTTCTTGAGGTATTTTGCAAACAGACATTTTTGCCACCAGATGATTTGTCCAATGATTCAGTGCAATCTGTCGGCGGTCAGGATGTGTGTTGGCGATGACTCTCAGCTACTACCACTCACCGTTTGAGCTCAGTCTGCAGCTCTGACCAAGCTACGTCCTGTTTTTGAAGGTAAACTGGCTGTGGCAGCCATCTTGAATCGGGTCAACACAGAGCTGAGTGTAGATGTCCATACGACGATCACTTTCAGTTTTAATAAAACCTGATTCATGAGATATTTTGCTAACAGTCCTTCCTGTTGGTAAACCAACAGAACAAACTTTATAAGTCATCTCCAGCTCAGGTTTTACCGGAGTCTTCGGTTTATATTGTCTCCCATTTGATTTTGTTGAATCGAAAAGCGTAGTTCAGGTTTTTTTGAGACGCTTCATTTTCAGACCGGAAATTTACCGTTTTTATTTTTTTTATTTTTAAATGTTTTTAATCCACAGAATCTGAAGCGTAACGATGTTCATCCAGATGTTTGTTCTGTTCCATCGAAGGTTGTGAAATAAATTCAGACTCTAAACGAACTTCTTGTCTCTTTCAGGGGTTCCTGTTGGGGCGATGGAGGTGGAAGGTGGGGACTCCGCCACGTCGTCCCGTTCATGGTTCTGTGGATTTCTCTGGACCGGACCGGTAGGACGCCGACTCTTCTGTGTGGGAATTTTAAACCGAGACGTCGTCTTAATCTGAGCAGAAACACCGAGAGCCTCTTCCAGCCGAACAACGGCTCCATGTGTCCAGACTCCACCGCGGCTTCGCCTCAACTTTCGCTTCGAATCGACGCACAGCGGAAAATAAAACCGTTTTTTTACCGTTTCATTTAAACTAAGTTTATTCAGAAACAGATTTGACTTCTCAGTGTTTTCTGTGGAGGCGACTCGTCTCGGTCCTCCGGTGATTGCGGCTCTGACAGCCGGCCCACCGCCCAAATGAATCTGAATTAGTTTTTATTTCCGGAAACATCGGGGAGAGCAACACAAGCTTCCAACCAAACGCCTCAGTGAGCAGCGCGACACAAAGAATCCGTTGTAATGACGGTAAATGTTCGTCGAGTCGAGCGCCGTCTGTCCTGAACTGAGAGCCAGACATTTCCAACAACACTAAGTCACGCATTCATCCATTCATCCGTTCATCTGTTCATCCGTTCATCTGTTCATCCGTTCATCCGTTCATCCGTTCGTCCACTGTAACATACACACGCTGGCTGTCCAACCCCGGAGCAGTTGATGCTAACGAAGCGAGACTTCCTGCCGCCATCTTGGTAGGAGCTACCTGGAGTCTGTATCTGCAGGACATGGAAGTCAGAGCAGAATGACTCGAGGCTGATGATGGGATGGAGACAGACAGATCAGGGCCTTGTCCTCAGTAATGAGGGCGTTGCTCCGGTCAGTTGAGATGAAGAAATAACTGTGTCTAAAGGCAAAGCTCTGGATTTACTGGTCTACGTTCCAGCTGTGGTTTGGATCAGGACTGAAAGAACCAGATCCTGGATCCAAGCAGCTGAAATGGTTGTCCTTTGTGGTGGTGCTGGTGGTGGTGGTGGGTGGGGAGGTGTTCAGCTTTAGAGATCTAGTGAGGAGCTCCGTCATCCGGGGAGAGGTTGGAGTGGAGCTGCTCCTTCACATCGGGGCAGTTTCTGGTGGGACTCGTCCTGTTTTCAGGAGACCCTGAGAGTTTTAGTAAAACAAGTCTTCTCCGTTTTGTTTTAGACCGATGACGCAATCCTTAACGGTTAAAACGATCCTTCTAGAAAAATCCTGTGAAAAGTGCGTTTTTCTGGTTGGAGTTTATTTTTTTGTTTATCTAGTCGTGTTAAAACTGTAGCTGAATTAAAAAACACGTCTTTAAAGATAAAGAGGTTGAACATGAGACGATGTTTTTCACACAATCACCATCGGACTCGTTTTGATGCATCTCGCTCTGAAACCGTCCAGATGACCCGCCTGAACATGTTGGAGTTTACCTGGATTAATGATCTGAACTTTGGATTAATGATCTGAACTTTGGATTA